TTCAGCTAGCCTAGGTAACCATCAAGCCCTGCCTTGGCTTCCAAGTACTGAGATGATAGGTGGGTGCTGGTGGTCCCAACTCTAGTCATCACATTTCCCCCACTAAGCCATCTCCCTAGTTCCTAGGGGCTCTTTCTGATGGCTTTTTAGAACAGGGATTCAGAAAACAACATGCATGGCCACTGTGTTTGAGCAGCCAATGGATTAAGAAAAAAATTTTTAAGTAGTTAAAAAGGCCAGAAGAGTTTAGAATAAAACTCATAATCTAGTTGAGGATACCACTTCATTAAAGTAGCATTTTTTTTTTTTGGTTAAAATGGGTGTTTAAAATATATGGGTATAGGAGACTATGGTTGAAGCTTTTGTTTTTGTTTATTGGACAAATTTCTTTTTTTTAAATGCCTATTTTGGGGCTGGTGGGGTCTGTAGATCAGGTTATAGAGCTTGTTTAGCATGCATGAAAGTGCTCTGGGTTTGATCCTCAACATAAATGAGGATGGTGGTGTACCCCTATAATTCCAGCACTCTGAAGGTAGAGGCAGGATGATTAAAAGTTCAAGGTCATCCTTGGCTACACAGAGAGTTTGAAGCCTGCCTGGGCTAGATGAGACCAAGCCAAAATACTCATTTGCCACTTTTAGATATCTTTAAGAAGGGACAAAATTCAATATATTTCCAAATTATCTGTTCTTTTAACTTATTTTTAAAAATCAGCTACAGTTATCTTATACCACTGTTTGAGCTGGTTTACATTTCCTCTCATTATAATAATAATGTTATGACAGGAATGTAGCTTCTATCTAGACCCAACTAGAATGGGGACAGATTATTAAAAATGACCACCGCAACACCATTCTGCCCCAGCAAACCCAGAGTTACCAAAACAGAAACCCATCCTTCTGACCACTTCCCAGTTTGGTCTGCCCCCTCTCTGGCTGATTATAGAGTATAGGCAGATTGTATTGAGCATGGGGGCTGGTTAAGGTGGGCAGGGCCAGGGAACTCTACTCAGAACCACTTCCCTGCAGATGAATGGAAGGCAGGTCTCCCCAGCATCCTTCTGTGTGCCTGGAGCCTCCCAGTGCTTGCTGCTCTTGTTATATGTACCACTTTCTTAAAATTAATTTTGTTCTTGCTTTCCACATGGGCCTGATGGTGGTGAGAAGAATATTTTTCAAAATTACCAATCTGCAGGGTAAATCAGTGTTTAAGATTTTAATTGCATAAGCAACAAATTCTCACATTACATTAACAAATGTCTGCCTATAAGCTGATCATTGTTGTTTGGGGATGCCGGATGGTTTAAGCCTATGGTGCTTTTCAAATGGAAAAGGCTATTAAAAAAAAAATCTGCACAGGAAACATGTAACTTCTTAGGCTTATCAAAAACCCCAACTTGGGAGGAATTAGGGAATGTGTCATTTGATATCCTACTTTCAGAATGTCTAAGAAACCACAGCTCTGACTTAACCTGGAGAAGTGCAGAGTTATGTATCTTTAGTAGTGAAATGCATATTTAATGCCATACATGGTGCATTGAGCCACTTATAAAATGCAGATAAGCTCAGATTTTCATTTTACGAATCAGTTCTACCTAGCTCATTCTTTATGCATTAAACATTTTCCTAATACAACCTGTCATGGACAGCCCACGCTGGACCAGTGTGACTTAGCCTTTTCAGAATGAGGTCTCACACCACCAGTATTAAGGACAAGGCTGGGACCAAGATTAAGTAAGAGAACAAAATTGTAGGAGATGCTCACTCATAGGTCCCCACGTGCACTGTAAGGGTTAGTGATTCTGAACTGTGGCACATGGGGACAGTTCTCTGGACCCTTCTAATTCCAGCTTCCTTGAGTTCCTTTAAGGTACTTTGTTTGTAAAAAAAAAAAAAAAATCCCAAAACAACAAAACCACATAAAACGCTGGGTCAGATCTTTAGTTTACAGAAACTGGGTTTTGGTGCAGGAGTCTTCTCTCAGAAAGTCAAATGCATATCTAAGGTTTGGGGGTCCTCTGAGGTTCACTCAACAGGACAAAAGCAATTCAGCTAGCCTCAGGTAATGACCCATCTGGGATAGTAGCTTTCAAAAAGCAACAACAACCAAAAAACCCTACTCAGTTAACCAATACAGGAGCAAGTAGGCCAGCCAGACCACAACATCTCTAGCCTGGGCCAGCCATTATGTACCTGCTACCAGGTGCCACGCTAGAAGGCTTGGATCTTAGAGGACACTTGTCACTGAAATGAATAATTGATGATGCATGTTTGAGCTGTCCAGCTTTGTAATTAAAAGGTTTATACATTTGTTTTTGCTCCATGCTCACTGTATGATGAAAAAGGATTAAAGAGTAAGTAGAAACAATCCATAAGCCTGCTAGCCAGCGGTCAGCATTATTAATGCCATAGGGCACCCTTTCAGCATTGAGGAATTCTTTCTCTATTGTGCCAGCCCAAGAAAAGCCCATCTTAGGACATGATGGACCTAAGCAAGGGCCAGCGACAAAAGAAGGAGGGCCAGCCAATGAACTTGAGGTGCTTGAATCCCACTCATCTCTACCAATGTCTTTGTGGACTTCCCGACTCACTTGTTAGTGTCAGGTTTTGTTCTGTCTTTAAATTCCATGGGTCTAGGCATGCATGTAGATTTCCTGTCTTGTGCTTCTCTGTCTTGAGAATAAGGGGACTAGGTCTCCTGGTCAGGAAAGCCAGACTAGTCACCCAGTTACCTCCTTATGGCATTGAACACTAGTTCCCTTGGGAGGTCTCATTCGTTCACCAGGTCTTATTGGGTGTCTGTTGCCACCGACCTACACCATTAGTCTAACATGAAGCTCTTGCCATCAAGAGGAGGCAAAGCATGAGATTGAAAAGCAAAGTCAGGTGCTCTTCAGGGCCCCAGGATCAGGGATAGACAACCAACTTGGCTTGGGAGAAGTTGGGTTTCCTTAGAAGAGGCTGTGAGTTCTTGAGCTGAGTTCAGAGAGACCTACCGTATGGCTCTTACAGTCTCCACTATTGTTTCATGTCCTACTTTTCAGCCCAATCCCACAGTTGCCTGTGATAATTAAATGAAATTTGCCAGATGGATGCTTTCGCAAGACAATGGTTTGTCTTCTTGCTCTATTTGTGAAAGCTGGCATTAGATCCAAATTCTCAAGGGTGCTTCTACCTTGAGGATGGCTTTGGAGGGTAGTGGCTCTTTTTGTGGTGCTTGCCAAATGGCCTGCCATCAGCAGGAACAGGTTGAGTGACAGGTGGGTGTGTCATGCATGTGGACACAAGTCCCTGCCAACCCATTTTGCCTCCGAGGAGGTAGGGTGCTGAGCGGTGGCTCTCAGAGATGTCATTCAACATTGCTATTGCCTTTGGGGAAATGAAGTCCTTCAGCTTCTGACCCGTCAATCTTTCTGTCTCTCATCAATTGCTCTTATTAGCTCACGTGAAATTGATGTTGCAATTCCAGTGCTTCCAGTTAAAGTGCTCGCGCATGTGCGTGCGCGCGCACACACACACACACACAGTCACACTGTCTTAAAGTAGCAATTTTCAGAGCTTTTATTAAAGGAAGAGAAGGATGGTAAATATTGTCCACTTAATCTGTAGCCAACTTGCTTAATTGGGGAGCATAGTATTCCAATAGAAAACAACCATAATAATATTGATATAATAATATAATTGATATAATAATAATAATAGTAAATGCATCATTACACATCTGTGAGTCATTCTTGGTTCTTTAAAAGATGTTTATTACTGTTACATATGTGTGTTTAGAATGGCGGCAGTGTGTGCCATGTGCCACACCATGCTTGTGAAAGTAAGACCGTGTGAATACCATAACACGCACATGGAGGTCAAAGGGCAGAGAGTAGGAGTAGTTCTTTTCTTCTACTGTGTGGGTCCCAGGAACCAAACTGAGATAGTTAGGATTGGTGGCAATCTTCTTTACTTGTTGGGACATCTCAACAGCCTCCATTCTTAATTCTTTGCATGCTCTTGTCACGTTTACCCAACATCCTGCAAGATGGTCACCGTTCTTCCCTTTCTATAAATGAAGAAATAGAGTTAAGAGAGGAATTCAGAAGCTTGGTCTGGATTGTCCACCATGCCCCTGCCTTGTTGGTTCTCATGGCCTGGGGATGTCTCCAGTGATGCAGGTGACCATCTCTACCTGAATGATGCTCACTGTTAACTGATTGCACCCTCTAAGAGCCAGAAGCCTTTGAGTATATTGCCATTAGAACCATGCAGTACAAGTTCATTTTCCTTTTACTTGAGAAATAATTTCAAGAATTTGAAGTTGTTGAATATCAATTGATTATTGTAGTTACCCAGGACTGTCAAATTAGTCTTCCTGCTGGTATAATTTATGTTTTTGCTGATTACACTCAGGCTGTACGTAATATGTATGAACAAAACTCTGGGGCTGATTTCTTCTTCCTGTGTTCTGTCCAAGTTTTGTGTGACATAAAGGTTTAGGTGCTCAGACTGTCAGACTATCGAGTTTTAGCTTTCCTGTAAGTATAGCAATCCAACTCTCATCAGCACCATCTCTCGCACTTCCTAAAAGGAAAATATAGCTTCTATTTTTCTGTAACAACTACTGATTTTATCCATTCCAGTGCCCATAATTTAACATGACAGTGTCTGGGCAGGTAGAGTGACTTGAACTCCTATTGTCAAAGAGTCTAAGTTGAGAATACTGATTTTTGACCTGAAGCAGAAACCAGCCAGGTTGGTCTTGGCAGCCTGTGCTATGTAGAGTTCCTCAGGATCCCTATGTTTTCAGGTGGATGGGGAGGGTCCATACAGGCCTGCACAGAATACCCACTGAGCCCTCTAGTCACCTTTGGATGTCTCCCATTCCTGGTTTGGGTGAGCAGCAAGTAAGGGTCCTCAGTGGCCTCTAGAAGGTTCTAGGGATGGGATAAGAAAGAACGGAAATAATTATTGGGGTTATTTAGCAGACTGACATGACAATTTCTCTTCCTGTAGCAAAGCCAGAAATCCTGACGTCTGACAGGCTCGTGAATGGCATGCTCCAGTGTGTGGCAGCGGGATTCCCGGAACCCATAATAGATTGGTATTTCTGTGCAGGGACAGAGCAAAGGTGAGAGGATTATTTTTGGTACTGCTTAAAATTCAGAAGGGAAGGGCTATAATTCAGTTGCATTTCAAATGTGTTTTCAGACTTACTATTTATTTTTTAGAATAAAAAGCTGCGTTTTGATAATTTCTTTTCCTCCTATATCTTTGTGGCTTTTTAAGAAGGGATAATGGCTATATTTTTCCTGGTCGACATTAATTTTGTTTGCTGAAAAATGATTACTGAATGCCTTCTCTATTTTGGTAGTTATCTTTTTGGGTTTATCATGCAATTTCTAGCCTCCAGGTAGATAAAGCAATTTCCCAGGACAGAGTAATTAGATTTCCATTCTATACACAGGAGGTAATGTGTGTGGGAAATGTGGCTGCAGTTATCATGAAAAAAAATTACCTCAGAAGTTAATTGCCAAGTAACCAAAAAGTAATGATCGCACAATTACAACATACATATGGCGTTTGTGAGCAGTGGGTTTGGAAAAGCATTTCTCCTTGACTAGGTGCCCAGCCCCTGAAACAAGGAACATCTGCCATTGTGTGGCTTCCCCTCATGGTCCACACTTAAGCCTTAAATTGTCCTCTCGAATTACCTGAAGATGAAAATGGGGTCAAGGTGCCATTTTTACACATCAAACACTGTATTATACTCCAGCTTCAAAAGCTTAGTTTGGCCTCATGAATAGTCAGAACGGCGGTGGAAATTTTGTTTTTTACTGAGGATGTTTTATGACAAAATGTTAGGATTAGTCGTGTTGGCTTGTTTTGGTGTGGGTTTCACCAGAATGTTTTGTTTAGGGGGGCGTGGATAAAACCTCTGAATGTTGTGCCTTCCATGACATGGCCTGAGTAGGTATCTTGTGCTCAGCAAAATGTTTACATGGAAGCCAATTGTGTGCCAAACGCTAGTTTAGCATACACCATGCTGGGCTGTACCCATATTTCTGCCTTGGTGTTTCTGAATTCTAGAGGGTGGAGAGAGATAGCAGGTAAGATGAGCAATTGGCATGTGTAGGTGTTTAAAGGGCAATGGAAAAGAGGTGTTCAGAGACTGTTTCCTGAAGATCCTTGCAGCCAGAGTAGTTATCGCACACATGGGATGTGCTCCTATCTCTGGACCACGCTTTTTGAGTCTTTCTTGTTTTCATGCTTGTTGATTTCCTGCAATTTCCTCTTCTACATAATTTATTTTCAGCCATCACACACCCTTTCCAGATTTGTTTCTAAGAGCCTATGGTACGGTGGGGTTTGATGCCAGCAGCCATTTGAATCCATTCCTTTCAGCCACGCTTGAGATGGTATGACCACAGAAACCTAACGGTGGAGAGTTGATGGAACCTGGCAAAAGTCACCAGGTCAGGCACTTGGAGTCAGGACACAGATCCATGTCCAGCCTCTTACTCCATCACTCCCTCTTGCTGGTTCCCCACAGTACTTTCCTCACTCATAGGATCACCCTGGCCTGATGGCTGGGAAAGGAAGTTTTTATTAAGTCTGAGTTTCTAGTTGTACAAGTGTGCCAGATAAAGTTTGGTTTCCTGGTGTAAACCCACACTGTTGTTCTCCTGTTGTAGGTGTACTGTTCCCGTCCCACCAGTGGATGTACAGATCCAGAATGCTTCTGTGTCACCATTTGGGAAACTGGTGGTTCAGAGTTCCATAGACTCCAGTGTCTTCAGGCACAATGGCACAGTGGAGTGTAAGGCCTACAACGATGTGGGCAAGAGTTCCGCCTTCTTTAACTTTGCATTTAAAGGTAACAACAAAGGTATATTTCCTTTTGATCCAATTTAAGGGGATATTTAGGCTTTGTGTATCCTACCATGACCTTAACTCCATTCCAATATTGGCCATATCATTTCTGGTAATGTCTACATCGCACTGTGCTGTCATCAAACTCAGACTCTCATTCCATCCATACTAGTCTGCTGATGAAGTTATGCTTTTACCAATGTAATCTTAACCGTTTTGCTTTGCTGTTCTCTTTGTATGAGTTTCTCAACAGGTTAGATATATGCAGTTATAGTTGAGTAGGGGAACCTTCCTCCTGCACAAGTATAGTTAGGACACTTTTAAAAGTTTAAATGCACTGGATGTGGTGGCGCACAACCTTTAAGCCCAGCACGTGGGAGGCAGAGGCCGATGGATGTGTATGAATTTGAGGTCAGCCTGCTCTACAGAACGAGTTCCAGGACAGCCAGGGTTACACAGAAAAACCCTGTTTTGAGAAACATAAATTAAAAATAAATAAATTCTATTTGTGATTTTAGGATGAGTTGCATTTTGTTAAATATCTGTGTCAAAATATTAACAGTATTCCTTTATCTGATCTTGTCAGCTAATAGTTTTCCCCCAATGTGTGTGTGTACACATGCTTGCCCATCTGCACTGTCAGAATTGTACAGATCATGTGCATGCTGTATAGCTGGCCTTATGTGAGCTACACTCCTTGTTCAGCCAGTTGTTTAGGTTGTGCTTCCTAAGTGACTAGCAGGCCACATGACCCTTGAAGGCACATCTGATGAATGGCCACAGATGAGACAAGGAGACTGGGAGCCTGAGTTTTCTTTTAGTGCCCAGTTTCTGTGGTGTCCAGCATTGGCCATCGGTCTCATGGCCATAGGACTGCATGTCCTCAGTCTTTGGATAAGGAGAGGCAGAATCCTAACATTGCTCTCTGTATTGTTACTTTTCCCAGACAGAGCAATGAAAGGGATGCTTCGCAAATGCCTTTCCTCTCTGAGACATTTATGTGCAGTGTAGAATGTTTAGAAAGCATGAGAGAGCAGGAAGAAGAAAACACAGAGCACCCAGAAAGGAAGTCCATTCAGATGCTGTTTTTCATTGAAACAGCATAACATTGTGTGTGCTACAGAAAGTTCATTTTCTTTGTAACCTGGTTTTAACTCACATCTTTGGAGATGTGCATGCACCTAGTGAGGTTGGGAATGTGAGTGTGATACAGTGTCAGAGCCCTTATCCAGGTCCCATCCCTTGCACATATAATAATAATAATAATAATAATAATAATAATAATAATAATAATAAGTAATGATAATAACAACAACAATAATAATAAAGAAGGAAAGAAAGAGAGGAAGGGATGATGTGCTTCAACACCAAGAGTAAGATGTGCTCCCCGCATGCGCCATGAGAGAAGTGGTTCAGTTTGGGACAGGTGGTGGTGGTGGCCAGGCTGTTGTCCTGCCAGTGGCTCACAATTGCAATTCTCTTCCCTTGCAGAGCAAATCCAGCCCCACACCCTGTTCACACCACTGCTCATTGGTTTTGTGATCACAGCTGGCATGATGGGCATTATTGTGATGGTTCTCGCCTACAAATATTTACAGGTGATGGTTGATTTGCTCTCTCTCCCCCCAGATCTACAGCGATACAGGCATTGATTGTTAAACGGTGACATGTCTTTCCCTTTCTCCTCCAGAAACCCATGTATGAAGTACAATGGAAGGTTGTCGAGGAGATAAATGGAAACAATTATGTTTACATAGACCCGACACAACTTCCTTATGATCACAAATGGGAGTTTCCCAGAAACAGGCTGAGTTTTGGTCAGTATGAAGCTGGGGCTTTCCACATAGCTTTGTGTGTGTGTGTGTGTGTGTGTGTGTGTGTGTGGCAATGATTTTAAGGAACCTACAGTGGCTTCCTTTGTCTTGTTTCACCTGAAACAAGAAGTGCTTTCTGTCAGACGGTACAGGAGTTGGCTGGGGCTGGGTTAGCAAAAAGAAGGCTAGAGTGAAGTGTCTCCGGACACAGTCGCCTTCATTGCCTTGTTGACTTTGGAACCTTCACAGTTGTCCACCGGGTCCTCCCACTGACCTTGTCCTCCTTTCTAAAGGGAAGACATTGGGTGCCGGCGCCTTCGGGAAGGTTGTTGAGGCCACTGCATATGGCTTGATTAAGTCAGATGCTGCCATGACAGTCGCGGTGAAGATGCTCAAACGTAAGTGTCCAGAGCATCCACTCCCTGCCCCCACCGTCAGTTTGCTTCATGGGTTTGTTTTTCTTTTCTTTTTATTGCTAAGATACATTGTTTTCCATTTTAGCAAGTGCCCATTTAACTGAAAGAGAGGCTCTCATGTCGGAACTGAAGGTTCTGAGCTACCTGGGCAATCACATGAATATCGTGAATCTCCTTGGAGCGTGCACTGTGGGAGGTGAGTCTTGTGTTCACAGCACCTGTTGCTGTCTGTCAGGCTATCAAAATATGATTTGGACACTGTTTTATTATAAGCAGTCTGGGAAACTTTTCCCCTAGCATTTTGTTGTTTTGTGTTTCTCCGTGTTGCTAAGAATGTGGGTAAAAAGTTATTTCTGTGTGTTGGGGCCCTTCAGATTCCTGTCCTCTTGTTGTTTTGAGATGCAGGCTATAGTTGCCATGCTGTGTTGTAGAGCATTGGGATTACTCCCCACAACTGTGTTTTGGTGCCCATTACTCAGCCTCCCATCTCTTAAGGACCTCTATCCAGTTCTCTGCAGATCAGCATTTTAACTCCCACAAATGTGAGAACATGCAGCATGTTTCTTTGTGTAGAGCCGCTCACACCCTCCTTTGCTCATTATACATCGCACTTGTATTTAATTATAATACCCTCCCCCTTAAACAGGTACAGGGATATAGCTTTTGGTTGTACCATCCCAAGGGTTGCAGGGGGATGGGGTGGGGGTGGGGATAGTCAGGATATATGCAATTTACTCTTATGGATGTTACATCATCATGGGCTCTCTGTTGGCTCAGCTCACCCAGAAGGCTTTTCTGATCTTAAAGTTTTAGATATTGCTGGGTCATAATTAGTCACTCAGGAGTTAATGTTCATTTGCCTTCTATAACAGAAAGTAGCCCTAAGCCTTCTACTTCTGAAATGTACACCAGATAGAACAAGCTTTTCACTTCCACTAAAGAAGAAGCTTCCAATTTGAACCCCTTAGTCAGTATTCCCATTGAGGGTGTCCTGATGTTTGCAGGAGGCATTTTGTTGAAAAGGAACAAAGGTGTGTAGAGTGAGCTGTTGCTGCTGTCTATCGAGAGAGAGCCACGAGACAGTTCACAGGTTTAGACAGTGTCTCAAAACAGCCCCCATAACTGATGCTTCATCAGGCCATGAATTGTTCATGAGGCAGTTTCTACCCACAGTAATTAGTTGCCTGTTAACTTGGAACTGTGCTTTTAAACATTCAGAGCACCAGCTCTCTTTTCAACTAGTAATGTCAGCAAAACGGGTCGTTTCAGGTTCTTCGCCCACCTTCCAGCCTGGGCTTAGCTGACTGTTCCATGTGGTTACTTCCCTACCGGGCTTTTTCATAATAACATTACAGCAAGGACACAGAAACCTGCGGAACACAGAAGTGCATCAAAGGGTCCCTGTAGGAAGCTTGATCATGGTAGAACCTTTGAAAGCGCAGTCACTTGTGACCACAAAGCCAGCAGTCACTCCTGGCTCCTAATGTTCACGTCACTTAGACATCTAGGTAGAAAGGGGCTTGCTTGTTTTATTTCACTCAACATAATGATGCCCTTTTTTTTTTTTTTTTTTTTTTTTGGATAAGTGATGTTAATAGATAGAATCATGTTGGGACTAAGAAGGCTTAGCAACTGAAGCAGAATGTTAATAGCCGCCGTCACCCTTGGGTATTTCTACAGGAGGCAGGATTATCTATAGTGTATCTTGTGTCTTCCTAACATTTTATTATATCCTCATAGGGCCCACCCTGGTCATTACAGAATATTGTTGCTATGGTGATCTCTTGAATTTTTTGAGAAGAAAGCGTGATTCATTTATTTTCTCAAAGCAAGAAGATCAGGCAGAGGCTGCACTTTATAAGAACCTCCTGCATTCAAAGGGGACTTCCTGGTAAGGCTGATTTGCATAAATAGTCAGCTGTTGACAGGCAGTTTTGTGGGGTCATAAGGGTTTGCAATCAAGGCTGATTCTTTAAAGAAATGAACTGAGGTACTCTGAGGTGTGAAATCAGATTATTAAATTATTTAAATGTGATTCACTATTTTAAAAGTTCAGATAGTGCCCTTGAAGATTCAAATTGAGATAGTTACTAATCCCTTTTAATGTGTGTTTCTGTTCTTCCCTAAGCCTTGGTTCTGCGGAACCAAATGTGTTTTCTACCTGTTTCCTTTTACTGTGGCTCCAGTCTTGAGTTTCCATTTGTGCTGCTGAGATTGGGCCTGTAGGCATCGTCATAGTGGAATTATTTATAGTGAAGAGGGTAAAAGCTGTCATGAGGTCATAGTTGAGTCCTGGGGACTGAACAGAATGGCTAAGAACACTGAGCATATTTCTGTATGCTTCTTGTCATTGGCACTGTCTTTGTGCCCCTGCCATGGCCCTTCACTTTGTTGTGTTATAAAGGCATCACTATTAAAGAACAATGTTTGAATTCCACACCTCTTTGGCATTGGTCTTGAAGGATGATGATGCAAAGAACGATGTATGTGCAGCTTCAAGTTCCTTGGAGAAAAGCTAGTTTGATGTACAAACAAAATAGAAATCTCTGCCGTAACTTGTGTCTCCTTTCTTCTGAAATGTGGTTGAGATCCACCATGGAAAAAGCTTTCCAAGATCCACCAGGCCCAGTGGAAATCATATTCGCTCCCTAACCCTCATATTTTATATCGCTGCAGTTGTGTAATAGATTTTTACCTCGTTTCATGTTTATTCTAAGTCCTGGGTTAGAATCCTAGCACCAGAAACTGAAATAGTGAAATTCTTTAGTAACTGTACTTTGTTTTTAGATGGCAGGATTTTGTACTCTGAAGTCTTAATGCCAAACTTTTAAGGAGATCCTGCCTTTTCTTGCCACTAAAGTACCAAACAAAACCTTGTTTGGTACTTGTAAACTTGAGTCCTCTGATGTGATAGTAAAATGCCATAAAACCCAACTTTTGTTAGTTTTTCTTGAACACAGACTCTTCATAAAGGGGCAGGAGCAACTTTGCCTTGAGACTGGAGCCTGGGCCCTGCATGTGTTTTTTAACTTTCTGAGATAATGGCTTGAATTGTTCTGTCCTGTGTGATGTTCTTTGTGCTTTGGGATCCCATATGGGTTTGGAGCCACCAGCACGCTCTGAAGGAGGTTGTTGTCATGGTGTTTCTATGCTAATCAGAGGCAGGAAGTACTAGAAATCTTGAAGAGCCTCCAGCCAAATGTTGCAGATTCAAGAGGTCCAGATGGTCTAGAAAACCATCCAAATTATTGGTGTTTATCTGAACCAAACTTGGTTTTTAAAACCTCCTTCCCTCAGCCACTGTACGCTTAACCATCTCCCGCCTCGCATGTCTTGGAAGTGCCTTGTTAACTTCCCACTTGTCTGAGTAAGGGCTAATTTAGAGTCTGAAGTAATGCGAGGTAACAGTTTTTGGCTCTTTAGTCCCCATTAAATATACTATAGCTGGAGGTAGGATTGCTCGAACTTGATCCTCACAAAAATGGCCCTCCTGAGGACTGGAGCTTATGTGTGAATGGTAAATCAGACCTTAATGTTGAATGGTAAATACTCATCTCTCCCAGAAGCTAGTTTGAAACCCTTCATTCAATGGTTGCATTACTTTTCTTGATATAAAAACCAGTCTACTATATGACATAGCGGGTGAGAACTGTAGCCTGACTTGTCATTGCCAGTGCTATGTCCCCTTTCTAGTTCTGTTTAGTTGTGACTTAGGTGTTTTCTCTCTTCAGCAGTGACAGCGCCAATGAGTACATGGACATGAAGCCTGGAGTTTCCTATGTTGTACCAACCAAGACAGACAAAAGGAGATCTGCAAGAATTGGTAGGAACAACCCAGCATGCAGGGACTGCAATCAAACCATGTTCCTTATTTTTCATCTTCTCACTCAGGGAGAGGGGCTGGGGGGCTTTGTGATTCAGCGTCCACCTTTCTTCCTCCCTGAGGAGGTGATTGGCCCAGGGGTTCTCTTTGTGCATTCACTACTAGCCTCTGGTACTGTGACTGCTTCTGTCTTCTCCTTACCTCTAAGGTTTTTATTGCTAAGAAACCCCTGTCTTCCTAATAGACTCGTATATAGAAAGAGACGTGACTCCTGCCATCATGGAGGATGATGAGCTGGCTCTGGACCTGGAAGATTTGTTGAGCTTCTCCTATCAGGTGGCCAAGGGCATGGCGTTCCTCGCCTCCAAGAATGTGAGTGGCCCTGAGTCTTGCAAGAGGCACAAAGTTCTTTTTCTTCTTCTTTTTTTTTTCTTTTAATGTTTCATAAGTCATAGTTAGAATGCAAAGTGTCATTTTGAAGTGTGGTTACCAAAAGCAGAGGGAATTTCGTTTCTTCTCGTTCCAACTGCTGTCTCTTTGGAATTCCTGCTCTAATTTATAAGCTTGAAAGTGCAAACCTGTCTAAATGAGCTTCCATGAATATTCTTTTACGTGCAGTGAATTCATTTCAAACTTTGGCTTTCAGATGTGGGATATGCTTCTAGAAAATAGAGCGATAATGGTTTCATCAGCAAATTCAGAGTCAGGATTGTGCCCCATTGTTACTGGGGCACATAGCTGGGCTCCTATGAGGTGAACCCCACAGACTGTACATATAGAGTATCAGACAGTAAGATGTCGGAGAGAACATAAACAGTTAAGAAAAGGATGGCAGTGGGAAGAGAAGGAAGGAACATGATTCTAGAAGATGTATCCCTCAGTAGAAAGGAATCACCCATGAGTAAGGTCACAGCGACTACTCTAATGACATTTCCAGACAACTACCAAACTAAGAGATGGGCTGAAATGAAGACCTCCTACTTTGTGTCCTTGGGAGATGTCAAGTTGAAACTGTGAAATGTTTCTGTAGGAGAAGACATTCAAAGAGATGCATATGAAATGAATTTTCAGTTTAGAAATGCAATTTGACTATTTATAATGCATTTTCCTATGAATGAAAGCAGTCATGGGGGAGAGAGACGTTTATTAGAATTGGGGAGGGAAGCAATTGGAGAAAGATGTTTATTAGAATTGGGGTGGGAAGCAATTATAGTAATTAGAGTCTTGATCGTGTGAAACACAGAATATGAATATCGTCCGCCACATACTTTTTATTTTTAGTGTACTAAATGCTTTAAAAAAAAGTTTTTCTTTTTTTTTTTAATGTAAACAGCATTGTAGTATTAAAATAGTTTCCTCTTTGAGAGCTGAAGTGAATGGCTGTCATTTTCCTTTCTACCCCAATAGTGTATTCACAGAGACTTGGCAGCCAGGAACATCCTTCTCACTCACGGTCGGATCACAAAGATTTGTGACTTTGGTCTAGCCAGAGACATCAGGAATGATTCGAATTACGTGGTTAAAGGAAATGTGAGTATCTTTCTCTGTCCCACCATTTTGGTACCTTGGTATCCAGTTTTGATGGAAAATTGTTCTCTATGATTGTCATAATCCAACCCCTACCTTGCAATGCTGAGCATTTTAGTAAAATTTGCATGAAATACTGAACGTTCCTACCACTAACATTTGATAATAGAATTCTTTAGTTATAATTGCATAATTATGGGGCATGTTAAGGAAACAGAAATAGCCTTAATTTTCATTATAGCCTGAGAATAGCAATGAATTTGATTTTGCTCAACTGTAACAAATGTAGATCTGAAGGTCACAGCAGGCATTTATTTATTTATTTATTGAGGTTGAAATACCATGTGAAATGACTACAGCCTAAGATGGTATCAGAGTTAGCCATATAGAATGCTGGGTCTCGTAGTCAATATAAGGCTATTAAGTAGACTCATAAATAATGGTTGATTTGTAAAACTTAGTGAATTTTTCAAAGTGCTATATTTCCCCACCAGCCTCTTCTGTAACCTCAAAACAGACTCGTGCCTTAGAACACATTGTCTGTCAATTTTTATAGCAGAGAAGCTAAGGTGCAGTATATTTTACTGATTTATATCTGAGATAGCTTAGTCAGTAGGGGCCAATGGGTATGGAAGGCCATAACCTTCTAGAAATATATTTTTAGGTGCCTATTTTTCCCGGACCCATTCGAACAGTCCATATTTATCCCTGGAGGTCGATTTTTGTATCTGTCATGATGATGCAGTGCCTTCTCTTTCATCACCATGGCCTCTCTGTTGGTAGGCTATACACAACTTGGTTTCATAAAGGTATTGCTGGCTTTATTTTATATCCTGGCCTAATCATACAGTCCTGAAAAGGCTCTGTCAAGGTCAGATTTTTTTTTTTTTTTAATATAGAAGAATTGATGAAACCAATTTCTACCCATCCTAACTTAAAGGAAAATGGAAAATGCTTTTCTATTTGAACCTCTGAATATTGATATAGGGGCAAGGTAGTCTAAGCCCAGGCTGGCTAAGTTCTGCTCTGCTCTCACTTAGTGGAAATGTAACTTACAAGACATAGTTTCTCAGTGTGTACAGTTACAGGAGGTCTCAGAACAGAGCCAGGCCCATTCTTATTCTACTTTGTGGTTTTGGATTCCAAACCATCAGGATAGAGCTTGTGTCCCAACATCTCCCTAGCTAATTCTGTGGTTGACAGGTCAAGTCAGTTGAACTAACCAATTATTTGAGAAAGTTTAAATTTCTGAAATGTGCATGGCATGGTACTGCATGAAAGTTTAAGTGTAGTCGTTGTAAAGTCCCTTTGCTGTCTGAAAATTCTTTCAGTTCTTGTGGATTCTTAATTATTTTTGCACCGAGTTCTGAGTTCAGGGTACCATTTCAAATGAATGGGATACTTAGATTTAACCAAGAAAAGCAGATACATTGAATAACAATTTTCAGAATTTGAAAAGAGAACTTATAGTAGACAACATACACGAGCCATACATCATAAAAGCTATTCTAATTTCAAAGTGATCATGAATGGAAGTTTTGTCTTGCGATTTATTGAGACTGGATGTGAGGATGTCTGGTGACTGTGGAGGACAGTTTTAGAAAATGCTAGACTTCACTTTGAAGCCCCCTTGAATCCAAGGTACTAATCAATCCTAGGTTAACAGCCCTGTTCAGAATTGCAGCATAATATCTGGGGGTAGATAGTAAATGGTGTTATAGTTTGTATGTGTATTATTCCCTACCCCAACCCACACTAAAATAACTTAACCCTAGAAGAGGCTTTCTCCCTAGGCTTTCAGCCCTAAACTGATTTAAAGGATTGGTTTAGCTTCATGTGGCCAATTAATATCCAGACATCCTGCAGGCTCTAAGATGCATAGTCACAATAAGTTCTGTTTGACCGAGTGGAAAACTTCTGCATGTCTCCTGGTGTAAGCACTGATTTGACCACTTGCCACCTCAGAACAGCCACTGTGCTCTCCAGTACTTGCTAGTCGGGGTGGATATTAGTGAGTCGGATACTGTTAGGCATTTTTACCTGCATTGCCTCATTTATCATCTCATGAAACAACTCCTACTATTTGAAGTGTTATTTTTGTTTGGCAAGATGAATCTGAGGCCAGCTTATCTTCTCCAGTAGGTGAGTGAGGGGTAGTATGGATTGCAGATGGCAGAAGTCCAAGAGTCAAAAAAAAGGGAAGGGATCAAGGCCCAGCAGTTGGCAGAGAAGTCAAGTGCATAAACCCTATAGTATTTTAAGTTGTTACTTTTTTTTTTCCTTGTGCTACTGAATAAAACTTGAATATTGGCTACTAAAACTAAATGGTCTGGCTATAGCTAGCTGCAGAGGAATCTGGGGAATGTAGTTCACATTGAGAGAGGCCATATATTTTGTTAACAAAGAGGAAGAGTGAAACAGAAAGTGTCTTCATTGTCCGAGGCTTTTATTGGAAGGAAGGTTAGAACCCATGGACTTCTATGTTCTAGTCTACTATACTGACTCAACATATTAGAACTATGAGTCATATGTGGAAGGTGGCTGGGGATCATGAAGGTTCAAAGTCCTGTTAAGTGGTACTCATCTCTACCTTCCAGCCAGATCTGCACCATCAGGACAGCTTTCCATTTTGTTATCTGAGCCTCTTCATTAACTGGCTGAATCTTCTGTGTTTCCTCTTAGGCCCGACTTCCTGTGAAGTGGATGGCACCGGAGAGCATTTTCAACTGCGTGTACACATTTGAAAGCGACGTCTGGTCCTATGGGATTTTCCTGTGGGAGCTGTTCTCTTTAGGTAAAACATTCCTTGCCAAAGAGTACCTCATTGCCCAACAGTTTCTGGAGTTTTCCTTTGTATTCTACTCTCTTGTGATTGACACTGATTTGACCCCTCTCTGTGCTCCAGGAAGCAGCCCCTACCCAGGGATGCCAGTCGATTCCAAGTTTTACAAGATGATCAAGGAAGGCTTCCGGATGCTGAGTCCAGAGCATGCACCTGCAGAAATGTAAGGGCCCACAGGCCTTTTCTTATAATTTCCATTTTAAAGGCAGAAAACCCTGATGTTGGCAGTCTTTGCTAGCACAGTTTGAAATGTCACTTGATTCCTTTGGTGGCTACCGTGGCTCAAATGTCATGGCTGTGATTCTCTTCATAATCTCTTGTCACCAATAGTACAGACACGTTTGACAGTATCTCACACACACAGGGTTTTATCCTGTATATATGTCACTTCACACCTCCCGATGCATAGCCCAGATTTGTTCCTGAAGTTGTGTGGCAGACAGCAGGTTAAGGGCATGAGGGAGTGACAGATGTTGGTCCCCATTTTGCAGGTATGATGTAATGAAGACTTGCTGGGACGCTGATCCCCTGAAAAGGCCTACCTTCAAGCAGGTTGTGCAGCTCATCGAGAAGCAGATCTCAGAGAGCACCAAGCATGTGAGTGGCAGGCCAGGCCCAGAATCCTCTTCCTCCTCATTCTAGGGTCATGGTCCCCAGGGTTCCAGGACAAGGACCAATCTCCCCTGTCTCTGGCTTAGATTATAAGCAGGCCTTCTTCAGAGGGTGGAAATAAAACAATGGAAGGCCCGTTCATGCTGCTCACACCCTCCCCGACTTCCCTTCTAATCCAGAGATGTGGGATGGGGGAGGCGGGCCTCGGGCTCAGATGTGTGGAATTAGATGTCATCCTAAGGCCAGCCCATGCTTCCTCCCTGTCCTGGAATGCCGCCGATCACGGGACTGTCTGTTCTCCTCACATGGCAGGCTTATTCATCCTGGGTGGGTTGGAGTTAGAAAGACAGCATGGAAGAAGACTGTTACCACAGCAAAGTGAGCTTTAGACAGTCAGAACCAGCCAGTGGCAATGGCTGTGATGCCCACAGCCATGTAGAAGGGTTTCCAGGAGTAAATCCATTATTTCTTGTTTGACTTTTAAGGAAGAATTAGCCATCCTTACCGGGTCTAGACTTATATTTTAGCTGCTTCCCCTCTCCCCTGAGCCATCCGCTGGGATGGCTTTCCTAATAGCACACCACTGATCCTTTGGGTTAATGCTTGCTCTGTGGGGCATCAAAGTACATTTCAAATGAAACATCATTTTCCACCCAAGTGCTTTGATTCCTGACAAATGAGTCTGGAAGAGTCATGGGTATCACTGCAAATTACACTAGCAGTTGGGTTGCAGTTGGCGCTAAGGATGCGTAAGCCTCCTTCATAGGCTAGCCAGTGCTTGTTCTCAGGTGTGTCCCACGAGAAGAGAAACACTGCAAGCAGTGTACACTTCTTGTGTAAAATGATTTCCTTGTGGGGGGAAACTGAGGTGTACACCTGCAGCTGTGAAGTGCCCCTGCTTGTTGGGTTTGTTGGAGGGAGGCCATGCTGTATTTGACTATGGCCTCTTCCTCTACAGATTTACTCCAACTTAGCAAACTGCAATCCCAACCCAGAGAACCCGGTGGTGGTGGACCATTCTGTGAGGGTCAATTCCGTGGGGAGCAGCGCTTCTTCGACCCAGCCTTTGCTTGTTCACGAAGACGCCTGAGCAGAAATCATGTCCGCAGACTTCCCTGCCGTCTCCATCCTCATTCTTTTGGCTTCCACGATGGTGGTTTTGTTTTCCTTTGACTTGTATCCTACTTCAGGGTAGCTGGTCCCCCCACCCCACCCCACCCCACCCCACCCCCACCCGACTGTGATCCTGTCTTTATGAGCACACTTTAGTGGCTGGTGACCCTTCTTTTTTTTGCCACCAGCCACCATCCCATTGTGAAGGTTCGAAATGTGTGTGTATATATTTTCCCATTAGCAAAGTAGCTCCTACTGTAAACAGAACTCCTGCTTTAGAGGAGGGAGGGTGGGGTGAAACTAGGTGCCCAGAGTTCTTTGCAATGCTCCTCTTGAGTCTGTCTGAAAAGTATAGCCAGTAGTCCATTGGAAGAATAGAGGTCGTCCAATTTGGCCTAGAGAGCCTCCAAGATGATGGGGAAGATGTAGCAAGACTAGAAAGTAAAACCCAAGCCCTTTGTGTGGAAAGTAGACCATTAATAGAACAGAGGACACGTGAAAACATCTGGGCTTAAGAAATCTACTAGTTCATGCTGAGAAGGAGACCCAGGCTGTGAAAGAAAGTGCCTCGGAAACACGAACAAAGATGTGTTGCCGTGGGCTGCCGCATAAGCCTTTGTACAACTGACCTGGTTTTTAAATAGAGTTGGCTGTTAGGGAGTAGAATTGGAGGCAAGGCCTCCCTAGCCAGCATTTGTATATACTCATCTATACGTAGTATGTATTCATACATTGGAGGGGGACCCCCCCCCCCTGAGCTTTAGTTTCTGTGTACAACCCTGGCATTAGGTATGCTGTGTGTAAGGATAGATTAAGAGCCATACAGATTTGAAGGAAACAGTTAATGCATATTTTTAGAGGAAAACTGTTGACTGCTAAGCACAATCTTTATAAAACCTCTTAGCCAGTATACTTGCTCTGTAGATTGCCGAGAACAAGCCTCCCAGCTTCAGAGTGGCATTGCAGCCAAGGGAAAGGTTACCATTTTACCCCATGATTCCCGCAGGAGTGAGGAAACGGTGCAATCCTGGTGTGGATTCCCACAAAGCAGGAAGCGAAAATTAGATTCAGCCTTTTTTTATAGGCACATCCTGGACTTTGGGCCAGTATCTATAAAGTGTGTGTGTGTGTGTGTGCATGCGTGTGTATATGCGTGTGGGTGAGATGTTTTGGGGACCTTGTTGCCCTGAATCCTGGAGGTCCTCCAGTACCCAAGAAGTAACAGCTTTCTTCGCCACTCCAGTCTCTCTCCTGCCCTCCCTGCCTATCGCCTACTGTCCAGAAGAGATTACCCAAAGCCACCACAGAGGCTTACAGTGTGGAGCGCTTAAGGATCTATTTATTTGAAATCCATCTGCACTTCTGACACTCTTATCTACACTCAACATACTGTACCCATTCCTTAGACCTTATATAATGCTGTCATTCCAGGAAAACATAGACTGGAAGCCTGGATGTTACCTTGTAGTTGCCATATCTTTCCCCCCACACACATACACTCCCCATCATCACTGTCCAGTATAAGCGATAAGTGTGTACATGGCAAGATTTATGTGTTGTCTTGCAGGATTCAGGTATGTTGCCTTCACGGTTTCCCCCAATTCTTTACCCCTTAGACTACATTTAGAGACATGTGGCCATTAACCTGGAAGTGACCATTTGCACTGGAGTTCTACACTCTCGCACCTTTCCAAAGTTAACCGATTAGGAGGTTATGTTGTCATGTACGAGATTGTCACTGTTTGCCATACTTTGTCTGAAACATCCCTTTGCATTCCTATCGACTTTGATTTAGTAAGGAAAGTAGCTGTTAATTATGGATGTCTAGGTACTTCAGGGGCACACCATTGAGAATTTGTCTTGGGTATTCTTGAAAGTTTATATTTTTATAATTTTTTTTTTTTTTTTTTTTACATCAGATGTCAGATGTGTCTTTCAGTTGCTTGATGTTTGGAATTATTTTGTGGCTTTTTTTGTAAATATTGAAATGTAGCAATAATGTCTTTTGAATATTCCCAAGCCCCATGAGTCCCTGAAAATATTTTTTATATATATGCGGTAACTTTATGTGTAAATATATAAGCTGTGCAAGTTTAAACATGTTATGGTCCATGTTTTTTTCTGATATGTTGTCCAATTGTTGACAGTTCTGAAGAGTTCTAATAAAAATGTAAATATATAAATCAAATAAGTTTTTTTTTCAAAGTACATTCACCCAGTCAGAAAGTTTTATGCACAATTTGCATAAAATACATGTATGACTCACATATCACACTAGGAATTATAACTTGAAAATTCAATAGACATTTGTAAGTAATTTTAGTGTTGCTATTTTCTTTATCCTTACAACCCAAGGTCTCTATTTAAATTGAGGAATGTTGAAAATATTTTGAGAGTTTTCTACATAGCTATGATTAACATTAGGTTGATTCATGGGAAGTGACTATTTGTTGGCAAAATAACAGTAAATAACAGCAATTTCATGTGGTCTAAGTAATTCACACAGCATGTTTTCTCCTAAAACAGATGGACTAAAAATTAGCTTCAGTAATAATGCACAAGGTTATATCAGGGATCTGAAGAAAGCAGTTGATGTTCTTGTTGGTGAGGGTTTGAGGTGAGGTGACCATATCATGAGGTGAGGTAGATGCTCTTGTTCTACTATCAGGCTGCTAATGACAAAGTCTGGTCTTGTTGGCTTCCGGGACAGAGAGTGCCCTCACTTGGAGCCCTGTGGTATGCAAGGAGTCTATTCTCCTATGGCTGGATCATTCTGTGATACCAGCAGGCACCAACCAGACCATTGGAACCAACTGAGACAAGAACTTTCCTGGACCATATAGCCTATTAGGAGTGGGTAATGGGGGCATAGATCAATCAGTGAAGGCACATGTTGCACCTGAGTTCCACCCCCAGAACTAAGTTTTAAAACAGGAAAGAAAAGCCTTGGTGTGGTAGCACACACTTTCAAATCTGATATACACCTATGGTCTCCATGTTGGAGAGGTGGAGAAGGGGATATGGTTCTCCATTGCTGTGGTAAAACACCATGACCAAAATTGACTTACGGAAGAGTTATTTTAGCTTTACAGTTGCCCATCACGAAAGGAAGTCTAGTTGGGAACTGAGTCAGAGACCATGAAGGAACACTGCTTAGTGTCTTGTTCCCCCTGGATTGCTTAGTTTGCTTGCTAATATCCCCCACCCCAGGCTCACCTGCCCAGATGTGGTACTGCTCACAATAAGTTGGGTCTTTTTGTGTTAGTCATCAACCAAGAAAATGTCCCACGAACTTGCCTACAGACTAATTGATGGGGGTATTTTCTAAATTGAGGTTCCTTCTTCCCAGATGACTCTTGCTTGTGTCAAGTTGACAAAAAACAAAACAAAACAAAACAAAAAAAAACCAAAACAAAAATCTAGCCAGCACAGATATTAAATTGCCCAAAAGTTTCCAAGTTCCCAAAGACCTCTCCCTCAGCAGTCTGTGAAATTATAATCTGCTTCCAGATCTGAATCTTTACTTCAGTCACACAAATGCCCGGTCTTCCTGTGCTGATGTCTTTCACTCATGTCTTTGGAAGACATCACTCCTCCATCCCAGCCCTTCTCTAGTCCAGCCAAGATGCCTTGGGAACTCTGGCCATAACCAGGTGGACTGTGATTTGTCCCGAGAGGGACTAATCTGTCTCTCAATGACCCCACCCCGAAATGGTGAACACGTTCTTATGTTCTTGAGTTATGTTCCTGAATTACAAGTGTTCCCCTTCCAAACACCAAAGATGTAAGTGCAATGAGTTAATTAATAGTTCTCATATAAATAATTACACATTCCATCATTTGGGAATAAAGGGGAGCCATCAGGGAGGAAATGGTCCCAGGAAAACCAAGATGAAGCTGGCTAGAGTGGGACCTGAGGAGCAGTGTCTGCACAGCAGGCAGGAAGGAGGGAATGCTGAGAACTCAGTCAGGGCTCCACCGAGGGGAGGGAGGGCTTGCAGGGTTGGTAAGGGTAGAAAGGGAAGGAGTGTGGCATGGGGGAGGGAAAGCAGAGAGGAAGGAAAGGGGCACAAATTCTCTTGACTTTGAAGGCAGCTGGAAAGTTCAGGACCAGGGTGTGGCAAGGTCTGAGAGGGTCTGCTCTACTCTGTGAGATTCTTGGTTTATGTATCTCTGCCTCTTACCCCCCACCCTGTGCCCTTCCCTTTGAACATTAAATCTGGTAGCCCTTGTCTGGGTGTTGTCTACATTTTGATTTGGTTACTGCATTCAGTTAACCATTGGATATTCAAGACTCAGCACACAGGAGAAACTCCTTAGTCTAATTACTTCACCTGCAATCTTGCCATTCTCACTGATACTGAATTCAAGGGTAGTGATTGCACTTTATGGCACATTTGCTTCTATCCTCTTCAGTTATCATTACTATTGGGAAGTCAGCTCATGGGGCTGGGAAGATCATCTGAACTAAGAAGTGGATGCAGCAAAAGCATGGGGACCTGAGTTCAATCCCCAGCACCTGCATAAAAGCCAGGTGAACTATTGTATGCCTGTAATCTCAACACTAGGTAGCAGAGATTGGGAGGGTCTCTAGAGCTTAGTGGCTAGCCAATTTGGCTGAATTGGTGAACTCCAGGTTCAGTGACAGACACTGTATTTAAAAAATGGGGTAGAGACTGTCAGAAAGACACTAGTGTCAGCCTTGGGCCCCCACACTTGTGTGTGCACACATGCATGTGCGTTAAGTGTATACACACACACACACACACACACACAGAGAGAGAGAGAGAGAGAGAGAGAGAGAGAGAGAGGAGAATCAGCTCAGTCTCTTCTGAGGACACTTATGTTTTTATTCTTATACTTGTCTTTGGATTTTAATACTTTATTATGGTACATCTAAAGTTGATACTTGTTTTTGTGCAATGGACTTCTTGAATCTATATGTTCTTTGTTGGCTTGCTTATAATCACTACTGGGAAATTATCAGTTTTTTAAAAATCTATCTGTGCCCCATCCTGCCTCTCTTTTCCTGGGACTGGTCCTCGTCTTAGATATCCTCACTCTACATGCCATGCCACTGAACCCCTAATATGTTTCTTCACACTTATTTTCCTCATGGTGTTCTATGCTGAATGCAACATGCTCTCTATTTTTATTTTCCGAATCCCCTTTCAGCTGCTGGCCTTTGGAAAATATTTTTAATTCTTTCATTGAGAAATAACCAATAAACCATAAACTCTAACCAATAGCAAGTGCATATATAATTGTGCATCTATCCCTGTGATCCAGTTTTAAATTACTGTCATTCCAAAAATTTCCATGATAAAGTTAGTATGGAATGGAGTAATTTTAATCAATATTCAGTTATTCTTGCCTTCTGAAATGAAGCCACACCCTTGGTTCTCATTGCATGGATCCACTCACCGATTGTCTCTGGGCTCTTTCTACTGTTGGTCATTCAAATGGCAATGAAAATTGATAGGTTGACTTGTTTATATAATTATTGCAACAGTGTCAATTTATGTAGTTTCTACAGTGCACTGCAATCTGTGATATTTTGTATTCATTCCCTGAACTTAAATCCTGGAAGAGAAGTATTTCTCATCTCTAAGGTACAACGATTTTGTTTCTAAGTTTTTACCCTAAACCTGATGGCTATGGTAATGTAGTTGGAAAGAATTCTCTAGTGTTTCATCCTTAAATCCTAAAAACAATATTATTAGTATTTATTTGCCATGCTAGACTCAGGACCCCACATATGCTAGGCAAGCACTGTAGCACTAGGCTGTGCCTTTACCTCATGCTAAGATTATTGGTGGCATCACTTCCATTTGGCATATGAGCGAGCCCTCTGTTGTCTTTTTCTCAGCTACAGGTGACCATTTTGCCATTTTATTTCACCTCTAAAAACATAAAAGAAAAATGGTCAAGAAATCAGGATGGCTGCTTTGCTATCTACTGCTAACTCATCTAAGATAATGGTGAGAATGCGGTTGAACTCAAATGTTCACATGAGGGAGGTCCTGGGATTATCTTCTTTCCCTCTCTCATGTGTCTCATGAATGTCCCATGCCCTACAGGAACCCCTCTTCCTCTGTGTCTCAAAGAAGTGTTTTGTTCATTCGAGCCTCAAGAGAAAATAAATGTGCTGGATTCACTGAGGGGTGTGGGACTGACAAAGAGGATGAGGCAAGAGTCTCAGCTCCCATGCCTGACGAGAAAGCATCGCATTCTCCTGAAAGCAGCAGTCGTTTGTGTTGTTACAGATCAACACGCTGCCCCCCATATGTCTCCTCCACTGTTGATTATACCCTTGTTGGTTGAATGCAGCTTTTATGGTGTGGGTTTTTCTCTGAAGTGTTTGACCTCACAGGGGCTAGGTCCTCGGTGGAGATACTCCTGGACGAAATGAGTGTTCTTGAGTGGTGGCTCATCGGCGTGTCTCCCTCCATGGCTGGCTTTGAAGTGTGCGTGCTTTTCTGAGCGCTTCAGCGGGACTGTGGTGTCTTTTATGAGAATGACCTTTTTCTTTGTGGTTTGTGGCTTAGCAGTTGCTCTTGTTCTGTAGCAGCCGGAGAATGAGGACAGGCAAAGGACTTCCCTCATGGCTGCTTGTTTCTGTATGAGTAGGCACTCTGGGGCAGCTGAAAGCTCTGTGTCTGCCCAACAGAATGCCTGGTCTGAGTGCCAAACTTGCCATTAAGTCATTGTTGCCTCTTAACAAGCTATGTACTACTCCTACAGAGTGTTTGGTATAGAAGACCGGTATGAAGGAAATTACTTTCTCTCACTTCAACCAGATTTTTCTAGTGGACCCAATATGACATAAAAATAGTTTCCATTTGGTGAGCCAGTCAATTAGCAACTACATAAAGTAGTTAAGAGTACAGATTTCCACGGGTTCTGAGGAAGGAATGCTGTAGTTGATTGGTTGTGTCTGTCTAGAATTGGGTATGGGAAAGTGTGCTAACTTTTATCCAGCATCCCTTTCACATTCTAAGTGTTTTCAATATGTCAGTTGTTCCATTCTTCTCAACAATAGTTATTATTTCCCAGATGAGGGAGCTCAAATGTAGAGAGTGTGTTGGCTATTCTTGGTTGTCAACTTGACTATATATTGAATTAATAAAAATTCATTTTGTCCTACAAATGTCCTAACAGCTTACAAAATGAGATGGCTTTTTTCTCAGT